AGAGAAATTTCATCAACTTTGATTTGCTAATGAGATTATTTAAATTAAATAAATATCAAAATAAAGTTGGGTTTGAGTTATATAAAAAAAATTTGAGTTCCAATTTTTCTAGATTCTGTAGAAAAACAAGTAATAAGATGCATTCTTTGGGATTCAATTTTTTTAACTTGTTCAAGTTATAAAAACATGAAATATTAAGATTTTAAATATTTAATAATGATTAAAAAGATATTATATTTTTGAAACTCTAATTTAAGTTCTAGCATTAGTAATGCAAAAAACTATAATTCTATATTATTATATATTACTAAACAAAATTTATTAAATTAAATATTGTATATAAATTTGAATCATTAGATGTGATTTCTTTATATAATATTTAATTATAATTAATGTAATTTTGACAATGAATTATGAATTTGTATTAAAAAATAAAATCCTTTGTAATTATTATTAGATAATTAATAATTTGATATTATGATATTATATGTAAATTCAATTTTTCAATTTCTCTTCACAAAATTCTATATTAAGAAAATAAGAATACCCTTTTAATTTTTCGTCCATTGATCATTAGGTTAAATCTTTAATTTTCTCTCGTAATATATTAGAGCTTCTAAATATTTCTCTTAATCTTGTAGACAGTTACCTTAATATAAATCAAAATATACCGATGCGATCAAGACTAAAAGTATGGTTAGGATTAATTAACAATGCTTGATGGAGATATGTTAAAGATATATCATATTATTTTAGAAATCTTATTTATAATTTAATTAATAATGAGTCATAAACATGAGCCTATTAATATAAAGATTATTAAGTATCCTTTATAACTTATAGATAACTAATTATTAGGATTTATTGAAATTGATTTATCTAATTGTTCTATACCCTCATTATACTTGTCCTCCCAATATAATTGATAACCTTAAATCTTAATTATTAAATAAATACCCTATTAATATAGATCTTCAGATAATTTTATATCATGTTCATCAACTTAATAATAATTAAATTATGATAATTATAATTATTCATATAAATTATTAAATGAATGAGTTAATTTCTTAGTTTATTCTTCAATAATTTTAGTAATTGATTATTTATATTCAGTGAATTAAATAGTAGAATTCAAATAATCATTAATTTAACAAGAATTCAAATTAACTAATCTTTCTTAGAATAATGAATATTTTTTTCTGATTCCTCTTTTTAATTAAGAAAATGATTAATTTACATTTTCTACACATTTATTAAGATCATCAATTAAATTATCACAATCTTTATTATTATTTTCAAGGAATTAAATCAAAGTGTTTACTTTTTTGATATCATTAATATGATTATTATCGATTCCCCTTTTAAAACATTCAACAAATTATAATCGAATTCCTGAACAAAACTAATCAAAACAAATAAAATCAATCTCTTCCTTATGCTCATCTACTTAACATTTTAACTTTAAATTGGCTTATTAAATCATTTTTTTAATATTTTATATTGAATTATTACATTAATACATAAGTATTTAAATTATCTAAATTCCTATAAAATTATTTAAATATTTATATAAAACAATTCAACTCCTCTATTATTTAATATATGTAATATAACATTTAAAGCAAATTTAAAAAATAAATCATTATTCATTTTATTGAATTAAAATCCATATTCAAAATTATTTATTATTATTATAGCAATCATTAATATAAACTTTTTATTTCAAAATTAAATTACAATAATAATCATACATTTATATACTATCAATACTAATTATCTTTCTTAAAATAATAGTAAAAATTTTCATATTCTAACCTCAATTAAAATGATCACAAAAAGGCTAATTATGAAATTCATGATTGAATTCAAGCAAACATAAATTATAAATAGTTTTTCTATGAACAAGATTTATCTTCTTTCACATATTTTAATAGCTCAATAAATTTTATTTATCTTTAAAATATCAAATTATTTTACCAAATAATTCACTTTAACTATTTTTCCCATGAATGTATTTTCAGAATTTACTTCATGGAAAGATAAAATTAGTGAATATAGGATTTGGTTTAATTAAGCTGCAGAATCGATTTATAAAATTAAATTAATTTATTTAAAAACAAAAAGAATATAATATTCACATTTTAAATATTTCTTCTTAGTTACTTGATATTACCCTTTTTAAAAGCTTATAAATTGATTTAGATAATCTGGGGAATGAAATTAATAACTCTAATTTAGATATATAGATTGTTGAATACCAATTAAAAATAATACTATCAAGTGAATTGACCTTTTGTAATTCTTGAGCAATAATATATTATGGGTGGCGTTTTAATTAAGTTGTATTCCATTTTTTATATGAAATAGTCTTCTTCTAAAACTTTGGATTGTTTTTTATAATAAGAAAGAATTAAAAATAATTTTTATAATTTAAAAACTTTCTCTTAAGAATAATTTATCTTATGTCTTACTTCAATAGAGTAATTAAAAATTTTAAATAATGTATCTAAACTTGCAAATATTAGACAGATTCAAGGCTCAAATAATTAAATGAGATTTCTAAAATCAATTATTCAAAGTTATCTGATTATTTTTTAAATAAATTGCTTTTTATCTATTTTTTCTTTATTAATGATGATAATCCAACTTATATTATAATTTTTGATTTGATTAAGGTCGTAGCAAATCTTCTGCTATTATAATTAAACAAAAATAATACAATAAATTTAATATGGTTTTAATTCCCTAAAAAAAGTGAACTTGTTATAAAAAATTTTTCAATTTTTAGATAGTCTTTCTTACTAGAAAAAGTATATGTTATTACCTTGATATAATTTACATATCTTATATTTTATAAAATATACTGAAAAAATTTGAAATATCATTGAAATGTATCACTCCTTTCATGTAGGTTTGATTATTTATCTTAACAATAAAATATTCTTTGTTTTTTTTTCTATATTCAAAATTCTACATTTATTAATTTAAATACTAATATCATAAAAATAAATCTAATTGTAATTTTATTGATTTATCTATAATTTCTGTTAAGTATTATTATAATTTCCTTTTTTTATTATAGAAATATATATTTAATTATCCAACGTACAGTGATAGTCAATTAGGAATTATATCGTGATTATATTTCATATCTATTTATTATATGCAAATTAAAAAATTGTAGTGCTAAACTATGCAATCAAGAATTTATTTTTAACTTTAACAATGTCTCTATAAATCTAATTTTTTCAAACTTATCCCCATCTTTTATACTATTAACTATTTAAGGTTTTTTCATTTATTTTTTAATTATTGGATAATATAATATGATTCGTTGGTTTTTTATGATTATACTCCATGTTATTGTTTAATTATTTATATTTATAAATTTCTTTTTCTTTTTATTTACATACTTATACTTAAATACAATTTCTTCATTTTTGTTCTTTTTTTAATTAAACGCACCATCACTGCAGATATTGCATGAGAGACCTCATGGACTCACCTAGTCACCCCAATTCCTCACCGGCAGGAACTTATTTTATCGACCTGCTGGTGGTCGATAAAATGAAAGTTATTTTAATTTTACATTAGAATTTTTTTCATAAAAGGCTTAAAGTTCAGTTTTTTTCTTAGTTATATTTCAACATTTTTTTTTTAAGGTTGGTTATTTAGGTTTTTATGTTTTATTTCCTTATACATCAAAACCATATCGAGATGTATTGAATAATTTTTAATCAAAAACGGATATTAGATATGTAAGACTAATTATGATCTATCTGATTGAAGGTATGATTAAATTCTCAAAAATTAAAAAACTCTTAATCCAAAATATAAAATTAATTTTAATAATATGAAAAATTAGAAATAATCTGTTTAATAAATTTATATTAATCTTATTAAGAATGAATCAGATAGAAATAAGATTGAGGAAGGATATTAGATACAGTCTCTGATAAAATTATCAGGATGAGCAAGAGAATGAAATTTTATAAGGAAAAAAGAGTTAATGTATAAAAAGGATATTTAATATTTAGCTTCCAATCATAAACCTTTATCTGCGAGAATTAATTTTATGAGAGATCTTATAAAGCTTTGAGTAAAAAGGAAATAAGATGTGGTACAAATATTGGAGGTAGGTCACAAGTAAGAGATATTTTTATTGAGAAAAGAATATTTAGATGTTAGTTTATAAAAACTGCTCTAATATAAAGTAGACCTTGAGGGAAGTATAAATTAATAATCATAAAGGCTTTGGAATGAGAAATTCAAAGAGAAAATAAGTATTAGAGATAAACAGAAGATTCCTGAATCATGCCATAACATCTAATCATTAACCTTTGCAATTAGCATAAATTTCCAATATTATTTAATACAAAATCAACTTTTATTTGAAAAAAACTCATCTAGAAATTAAATTTAATTTTATTCTTGTTTATTATGATTTTTCTATTCATTATCAATAATAATTTTGACATTTTTCCCGGATTATTATAATTTCAATATGGTCAATTTTTCATCATATATATTAACAGATTATCTAATTGACTTTTCTGTTATTGTTGGATTCTTTTGGTGAAATTTCAAAAGATAAGGACCTTTCATTTAGGCATAGAGCTTTATAGTTGAATACTGTCACTGACTATTAAAAATCTGAGCCTTATATTTAGAACAAATTATAAATATGCTTATCTTCAACAGGATTAATTCATATCATTAAAAGTTCTTCAAGTGATATACTGCTAATTATATATTTAAATACACAGTTAACTCTTAATTCTATCTTTAAATTTATAATATGGCGTTAAGAAAATCTTGATTCTATTTTAAACATTTTATTATTAAATCTCTTAATCTAAATTTTAATCATTATAAATTAACTCATAATATATATTTAGATTATAAATATATATCTGATTAAATATTTTTAAAACAACTTTAACAATAAATTAAGTTGGTATATTAATATGATCTCAAAAAAGGAAAGAGAATTCAAGAGTTATAACTGAAGATAAATCTAAGTTATAATAACAATCAAGTTAATTGAATTAACTACATTTAATTGTTTCAATAAAAGTTTAATGATGATTATTATTTAATCAATTCAATAAATTTAACCTTTTTCTATTTGAAATTCTAATAAAAATTAATAAGATTATTATTTATTTGTTTGTAGCCATATAATTATTAATTTGTTTTGAACTGACTACATTCAAAAAATTTACTGATATATTTACTTTTGAAACAAAAATAAAGAATGAATCTTTGAATTCCTTTAAAAAATCAATACATGTTAAATATAAATAATTTTATGCTTTTGAAAATAGAAAAATAAATAAAACTTAAATAGGATTTTAGATTTTAGTTAAGCAGGATATATTATTTTATGATATTTTTAAACTCTATTCAATTATTATTGACATATTGACTTAATTAAATAGATAAATTTATTAGAAAATTAATTTATAAATTGAAATAATAAAAAATTCATTATTTTTCTAATGATATTAATCATTACTTTAGTCTAGATATCTAACCAAAATTTGATTTATTAGTTTGATGCAAGTGCTCAAGTAAAAGATGGTAATTTTTAAATGATTTATATTCATTAGATTGGCAAGGTTTGTCTACTTTCTTAAAATGTGGAAATATATTTTATTTTGGGCAAGCTGAAACCCATTAAATTAGCAGAGTATTTTTTGATCTAAAATCTCATTAATAATATAGGATTGATGCAGAAATTCTTAGGTATATTTATTTTATTAGATAAGCATTGACGGTTATATAGTTCCAAAATTTTTTATAGAAAATAATCTTGAAAGCCAAGATTCAGAGAGTCCACCATAAGAAATCTAAGTTTGTGGTGGTTTGAATATGGAATATTTTAAAACAATTACCATAATTCGTAAGCATAATAGAAGAAATTTTTGGATGAGAATTGAATTAGGTTAAGGAGGATTATTAAGATTAAAATTAAGTATTATCTCATGCTAGTATGGATGTATTGGATGTATATAGATTCATCCAATAAGTTGTTTAAATTGGAAATTGCATGAATATTCATTTCAAAATAAATTAATAACAATTTAAGATGGGTGGAGCTTTACATTAGATGTTTATCAGGATTTCTATTGTGGATATTGTTAATATTTAAAATTTACTATAATTAATTATTCTACTCAACTACCTCCTCATTAAGATTTATTAATAAGGTTTTATAAACGAGATAATGGGATTATAATCTTAGATTATAAATATGGGATATAGAAAACTACTAATGAATATTATCATTTAGTTGAAATATTAATAACTAATCACCAAGATCCGATATTATAATTAAGTTTTAGAACTTAAAATCCGGAATTGAAAAGTTTAATAAGAGATTTTGAACTATTTTACACAGAGCCAGAAATCAAATTTCCAAATTTTTCACAAGGTTGTATAGATTTGAAAGGTGATTAATGCTTTAGATGTCAAAAGGGT